TTTTTTAATGGCTACAACAGCAGCTGTGTAATTGGGGAAGAGAGAAAGAGAAAAAAGGCATGGGCTACAGTCAGACTCGGCCGGTAATTCTGAAAAGCTGTTGGACAAGGGCATATGTTTGAGGCCCGTGCAGGGTTCCCCTGAGCTTGTTTGGTACCAAACTCAATTTGGTACTCGCAAGGCGGCTTTATATACGCATGAGTGCGCTTTGGACGTGACTGCGCACCGCCTCTGGAGCGTGCGAGTACCGAATGGCTAAAAAGATGTGCAAATAAATAATACATTTTTGTGACGATGCAACAATGAGCCGATTAGGCAAGTGACAATTCTGTCAACTGTACCGAAATGCGAGCAAAAGTCTTGTATCGCGGTGTGCAGCAGCTCTTGTAGTGCAGACGAGCTGTGCCGATGTGAAGCCGTTTTAAGAGAAAGTCAAAGAGAGAAGACGCGGTACAGCTGAATCACTCACGCTCTTTTCAAATGACTGATTTGATCTGATATTCTGTGTGGATTTATTTACTCATCACACATACATGCTATAGGCTATTGAATAAATGTGTGAATATCCATCATTTTAAAGTCGAAAGCTGCATGAATGAGTAAAACTCTATGCGATGTAGCCTATGCGCAATCCCGCACCGAAATTCAGGACCTGATTAAACATAATTCTATTATACAGAGATTTGTGAAATAGATTTCCATGACTTTTCCAGAACTGGGTTTATTTATTTTTCCAAAACTTTTCCAGGCCTGGAAATTCCATGACTTTTCCGGGTTTTTCATGACCGTACGACCCCTGTTATTAACCCCTCTGTGAATTCCATTACAGAAACTGACTGCAGGGTCTGATGCTAAATTAGGAAACGTTCTTGAGACAGCAATCACTACCTAAGGACTCCCTCCATTTCCGTTCTAGACATGCACAAGGAGATGAGAAAGACAGCAAAACCATCCAATGAAAGATGGATTCAATAATAAAAACGACAAGATTGCAAAGATCCTAAAGATAATGAATTTCAGAGAAAGCTTTAGCAATAACACTAATATGTCAGTTTTTGGCTATTTTTAAATTGATTGCCACATCAGCTTCACTGGCTATTACATGGCAGATACATTCAACAATATCATAAATACAATATAATAAAAAAACACATTTGATAAAAATTCAACTTGAAAAAATTAAAGTTTTGGCACATACTATTGTATAAAAGTTTCTTTAAAAGTACTTATGATAAAAATTTTACGTTTTTCTGTGTCCATCTTACAAAATAAGTCCTTAAAAGTTACCAGTATGTCGGTAACGTCCTGTCCCGGTATACAGCAGCGTGCGTTACGTTTAGAACACAGAGTGATGTCTGAGATATGCATGCTGGTCTGTTTTCATGAAATATTCATCACGCTTCTCGGTTTACATTGTTTTGCATGGCATTATTTGCCTGAAGGATACAGAAGTGTGGGGCTGGGGGGCTGTCACTGCATATCCCGTATGAGGAGAGAGATACAGAGAGAGATAGAAAAACAGACTACTGAGTTCAGAGAGCATGGCTCAAAACTCTGCATCATAATCTGCCACATCTGCCTTCTACAGTGCGCAACCTCTCCAACATCACACTGCTCACGTGTATAAGATAGCAAACGGTATCTGAACGGAGAAGGAGGCAACTGAGTGTGAAAAAAGCAAATAAGTAAAGCTGGATATGAAATCTGTGACAGAAGAGCAGCGCTGCAGAACGACAGCACGAGAAGAGACAGAAAAAACTGGGTGGCTGTAGACTAATTTAAACCGCGCCGAACAGCCCATCCAAGCTCTCTCTCGCTCTGGCTGACACTGCATGTGCGACTGCAGGAGCGAGAAGTCCTTGGCATGTAACAAGCTGTTAATGAAATAAGAGGAAGATGTTCTGTAATGATTTATTCAGCCCAGATCACGCCTGTCAATGACATCAGCTGCTAGGGCTGGGCGGTGTACTGAATATTTATGACATTTTGGTGATGATTTCATTCACAGATTTAGGAAGTTAGATTCAGTTACTCTGATCAGTTCTCTCTTGTTGGTTTTGATTCAGCAATTAATTTGCATCATCACTCACACAGTAGGTGTTCACAGATTGATTTTACTTTTTAAAAAATTTATAAAAAATAATAATTAAAGTCTCCATGAGTCACAAAGCAAATTAATTGCTGAAAAAGTATAGTTTGCCACTGTTCAAATGTTTGGGGTCAGTAAGACTCTATTTATTTGTTTGTTTGTTCATTTAAAAATATATATATAAAGTGACAGAAAAGACATTTATAATATTTCAAAAGATTTCTATTTCAAATAAATGCTGTTCTTTTGAACTTTCTGTTCAAAACCCATCACAGTTTTCCCAAAAACATCAACTTTCAACATTGATGATAATCATAAATTTTGAGCAGCAAATCAGCATATTAGAATGATTTCTGAAAGATCATGTGACACTGAAGACTGGAGTAATGCTGCTGAAAATTCAGCTTTGAAACAAGAACATAGTAAAATAGAAAACCGTCATTTTAAATCGAAATAATGTTTTACAATATTACTGTTTTTACTGTATTTTTGATCAAATAAATGCAACCTTGGTGAGCAGAAGAGGCTTTCAAAAACAATAAAAGATCAAAACACATAACATTAACACTTCTTCAGCAGTTATAATTATTATAATTATGCATTGTAAATGTATTGCTAGTCATGAAATAGCATATGAAGTATACATCAGTAAAGTATATGATTAGTATCAAATAGTAATGTGAAGACAGTTTATATATCCTCTGATGGGGGGGGGGGACCACTTTATCTCCAGATCCTCCATTCGCAAATAGATGGATGAGTTTCGATTCAAAGCAAAAGACATATATTATGACACTGTTTTTTAAGCTGTATTGACCAGCCATAGTAGCTGCTGGTTATTCTGCCAATCAAACACAGAGAAAACAAACCGTGACTGTCAATAATACTGGAAATATAGTTACAGTAAGAGCAGACTTTTGAGTCTGCAAGCAAGTAAATCAAGATGTGCCGAGAGCTGCCCATCTGGGGGTCTGTGGCCCATGCATGACCCCTAACAGCTCTCCAGGCGCAGAATGCATATACAGTATATCTCTGATTGATGTTTCTTCTGTCCATGTTAGACTTTTTTTTGTTACGCACCAACGCACCAAGAGGAAATCACCATCCATGACAGACAACCCTCTACGCACACCTTGGCAATATAATTGCCATTATTTTTTTTTTTTTTTTTGTTTACTCGCCAGACTGATATACTATTTTACACACACACACACGTTTACTTAGCTATCTAATTGGGGACATTACATAGACTTCGATTGTTTTTATATACAGATAGTTATACACTTTGTAACCTAAGCCCACCCCTACCCCTCACAGAAAACTTTCTACATTTTTACAATTTCAAAAGTAAAAAAAAAACTTTGTTTACTTTATTTTTATAACAGTTTTACAAATGAGGACATCCACAAATTGAGGTTTTTGCCGATTTTGTCAGGTTTTGCTCACTTTTGGGTACAAATTTGTCCCCAATATATGGTTAAGTAGGTATACACACACATATATGATTCCACCCAATCATCTTATCTTTGTAAACCCAATCAGCTTATCTTTGTAAAATGGAACAGCACTCTTAACTTCAGCCAATCAAGCATTATATTATGATAATTAAGCACTATTTAATGATAGAACTAGTGATTAGAACTAAAACTTGGTAACCATGAATGAATGCATATTTGTCATTTTAACTGAACTTAGGACTGGTGGTGGTGTTTAAGATATTGTTGGTCATAGGTAATAGTAATTATTATTAAAATATACTACTACTACTACTACTATTATCTGCTGGGTTCATGAATATTAACCACGTTGTCAGCGTTTGCTCAAACTGATTTGCTGAAATCAAAACATGGACGGTAATAGATGAGCGCCAGCCAACGAGAGCTGTTTGTGCATTAGCTCCGCCCACTGCCGAGAAACCGGCATATTTTCTGCTTGTTCTTAAAAGCTGAATAATTCTAAATGAACTCTGTTATTTTGACAGGAAAATACAACAAATAATATGGTTTACATGTAGCGCGTCGATTCAACGTGGTATGCAAGACTCTCGCTCTCTCTCTTTGCATGTGTGAGAAACACAGCGCTATCAGTAAAGCGACGGCGAGTCGTGCGCCTTCACACTAGTTTACGGTGCGTCAAATACAGGTGCGCTGTGTGCTACATACTGCACATCCATTGAATACATGACATGATCCATTGAGCGCATCCAAATAGTACAGATCGCTTGACGGAGAGCGAAACTCTCAAGCACTCAGTCAGCGTGTTTATCAAGTGAAAATCTGTGTTGAACGCCTCTCACACACATACTGGCGTGCAAAATCTAAGAATTTATTAGCCAATGGCTAATGTTAGACATTATTTAGTCGCATGTGCGAGTGATTTACTTGCAATGTAGAGGGTTGACAGAGCAGGGGTGCATAAAAACTAACCGTGTGGACAAGGGCTATATATTATGGAAAAAGCAGGGAGAAGTCAATAAATGAAAGAACATCCAGTTCTGCTGAGTAAGAATGAAAGGTAGGTGAAGCTAAATTCAGTCTGAAGATCTGAATCCCAAAAAAGACACAAAAAAATTGATTAGGAGAGGCAGACAAAAAGGAATTGGGTTGCTTTCTGGCTCTGACACTGTTCTCTTGCTGCAGATGGAAATGCTTCAATAGAGCTGCTGATGAGATTTAAATGAGTATTACTGTTCCTGCTCCTGATGGCCACAGAGGAGAAAGACAGATGCAGATCACATACTCAGCGCAGCAGCAGGAGAACTTGCACAACACTCTCTTATCTTTAAAAGAGAGAGAGAGAGATGAAGTGGAAGATGAGGAGCGATAGATAGAGACTTTCTAGCATGCAGAATCTCAAGTAATTCTTCTGAGTTGGGGACTCGCAGGCAGTCAGCGGCCTCTGACACCGAATGAGACTCATGCATGTATGGATGTGTAGAGGCAATGGATTTGATGAATGTTTCTCTATCTGTAACCCAAGACAAGTGATTCACTAATGTGTTTACATAGGAATTTTAAATGTCTCACAGCATCCAGAGGCTTCACATCAGGTGTGGCGTGATGAAACTGCTCATTCTTTGGTTCTCAATCACATTACCATTACAATGTACCACTGTGGTTTAGACACAATGTGTTCCTGCCTCCCCATCTGGCCTCCGGTCTTGGTTTGGGAGGACCATTGTGTGCTTATAAACAAGACAAGACAAACTGTTTGAAGGAGGAACATAATCGCCTCTGCGCTCTTCTACCCACAATGCAACAGGGAAATGTCACTGTGTAAAGAGGAGAAAGTTTCCTTCTTCATTCTGTTTACTGTCTCTCTTACAAGTTCACACAAAGACTCAGAGCACATCAGGGACAAAAACCTCTGACATTCGTGGATACATTAAATAAAGCAATTCTTTGTGTTTTCCCTCACGAGGATGTTGCACAAGTTACTGTGAACTTTGTCAGAAGTTATGCCAAGTATTATTGATGTTGGTTTCTCATAGCAGAAGCTGAATGTTGTGCCTGTTCTGTCCTGTTGTTTTATTAATTGTTTAAAATTTACTAAAAGATGTATTAAAAGATTATTAATATCAGCATTCCCCATTAACTATGTAGACTGTGGCATCCTGACATGGCTTAGTGCACTTATCAAAACGCAAAAGGGTGTGATTTAATTACTAAAAGTATAGACTGTTGCAATGCATGTTTCAGAGCGAAAGGCAGCACTGTGTTCATTTACACACGAGCAGCTCAAGATTCTGTGTGTTCAGCATCTCAGAGCGGCTCAGTTCAAAGTTAATGCAGCAAAAAATCTCTGCATGTACATTTAAGTACATGTAACACCCAATGGTCTTGTGGACTTCCTAATAACACTCTGAGCCCTATTTTAACGATCTAAGCGCATGGTTTAAAGGGCAAGGCGCAGGTGCACTTAGGCCGTGTCCTAGTTTAACGACGGGAAAAACGGTCGGCGCGCCCGGTGCATGATCTAAAAGGGTTGTCCCTATTCTCTTCATGATTAATGGGTGTGTTTTGGGTATAACGTGCAATAAACCAATCAGAGTCTTATCTCCTATTCCCTTTAAGAGCAAGTTGCGCTCATGCCATGGCGGATTCGCTATTTACACACTTTTTCAGTCTTTGCAAGAGCAAAGACTGAACACGTCTCCAGAGAGGAAACGGAGCTGCTTGTGCGCGAGCAAATAGGTAGCCTAATTCTGATACATGCAATGACTATCCATTATGACATGTAGGCATTTTTATATTTATGTAGCCTACACAATAATAATCTTTACACTGTAATCCTTTAATTTTTTACATTTGGCATGTTTGTGTACTGCTGCGTGTCCCTGTGTGTGCAATAAGCAGAGTCTACGTGCGCTGTGGACCCGCCTATAGGCGCATGTTACTAACGCACTCTTTAAATAACAAAAAAATACTGACTTTAAACCAGGTTTTAGTTGGCCAATGGCGTAGTTTATTTCAGTTGCCTCAAAATATCAACGCACCAACATTGCATCTGAACACACCTCGTTTTCAGACCAGCACGCCCATGGGCGAACAAATGGGCGAAAATGCATTTGCTATCTAAACAACGTGGTGCAGGACGTGAAAATGATAACTGCGTCGGGCTGAAACTAGCAAAAAACACTTGCGTCGTGCCTAGCGCCGCATTGCGCCGGGTGTGTGATAGGGCCCTCTGGACCACAGGATGGCTAGTCCAGATCAAGTGTATCAATTTGAGAAAGACCATGTCTGTTTGTTTGCTCCCAACATCCCACCCTGTCCTGCTGCCTCCATCTGGCAGATCTTTCGCTGCTGAACTTCTTTTCAGGTATGAAAAATGTTTCAATTATTCTTGTAAACCAGTCGCTTTTAAACTGAGAGCAGACACCATATTTATACCATCCTGTTTAATTAGGCTCGGTTTAGAGATCAATTCATTCTGAGGGTCTCCAGAGCCAAATAGAGAGATGGAGAATGAGCATAAAGAAACAAACTGAGCAGATTTATTAAGAAAAAGTCACAGTTTTGAGGCACTGGAGTTTGTTGGACCTTCTAAGGGAGGGGGAGAACGACCATGTGGGTAAACATGTCAAAGCCTTGAGGAGTCAGCACTTTATCTCCAGGTCCTCCATTCGCAAATAGATGGATGAGTTGCTAAAGCGGTGTTTAACATCTGGTCAGAAACCCACTTCTCCTCTTATGAGAAAAAATGAAGGAAGAATATCACTCCCATGATGCTCTTGAAAACAAATAACAGCAGGCTGGAGGCAGAAGGGGATTTGGAGGTTGAATGCAAAAGGACAGCCGGCACTAGAGAGGGGTGTGAATGACTACAAGAGATGCTGAAAGAAATTAGAAACAAATTCCAAAACACAGGATGCATGAAATGAAACAAGACGAAACACAAATTTCCACACAACGAACAAGATGACAGACTAAACATCCCGGAAAATGATTCTGTCCCCTACAGGAAATGTAAATTAAACTTAATTGCACATATGAAAGAAGAGTCCAGACCGAGTCCAGATGAACGTTTTCTCGCAGCAAGAAAACAAACAAAGGCACATTGAGCCAATCTCATTTCCTCTGGCATGTCATGTCGAATCTCTCGTGCCAGCCCATCTTTCTCTCAGTGCTTCATTGATCCCATCCACGCTGAGCTGAAGTTGACAGTCACCACAGCTGTGAAGCATCTGAGTCGCTTAACACCAGCCAATGGGTGACCCTGCAATATTCGCAGCTGGAATAAATGAGAATCAATAATAGTAATGACAACACCAGCAGGGCTGACTGAGGTCTCATCCCTCCCGCTAAAGACTGCATTAGTAAAGCAGCGGAATGTGTCTTGTTGTGCACTCTAAGGCTTTTCAACACAACGGATGCCAGAAGTTCTGTTGTATCGCATGAATGAACACAAATCACACTCATACAGTCTTGGATTTAGCACCTCCTGGTGTGGCGAGCTGTGTTTTGAGCTCAACACATGCCATTGATGCTGCCAAATTAGTTGGATCAATGCCGCAGCACAGATAACAACATCTCTGGTGTTCTGGTGATGAAACTGATTCACGATGACAGTCGGTGTAGTGTGGCCTGTGCATGCTGCTGTGTACACATCAGGGGTTGGAGAGAAGCCGCATATTCTCAAGCTCACCATATCAAAGGCAAAGTCGGCAGGACGGGTCTCTCTGTCGGGATGCTGCCTGAGGGACGCCTACAGGAACTGGAGCCAACAGAGAAGGTCTCAGAAAACCTGTACTATGGACTCATGCCATCCAGGACTTTTAAGTGGAGAGGAGGTAGACCAAAGGCTCAAGGTGAGAGCATGGCTACAGAACTCAAGGTTAGAATGGAGACAGCATGACGGACCAAAGTTATGAATGATGAAAGCAAGGTGAAGTTTAGTCTCTGCCTGAGAGGATGAGTTTCTGGACAGCCCACATTCAGTTCTCTGGCTTTCTGTACATCGCATACAAAAATGGCAACAGTTTCTCTAGCTGGCAAGTTGTAATCTGTTAACAGAATACAATGAATCTGTGATTAATCATTTCACAACCATCTTTAGAAATTAGAATGATATGGTATGTATATGCATGCACACACATATAAATTAATCATTTTATTGAGCAAGGACGCATTAAACTGATACAAAGAAACTTGCGATGTTACAAAATATTTCTTTTTCAAATAAAAGCTGTACTTTGTAACTTGCTTTTCAAAGAATCCTGAAAAAGTATCACTATTTCCACAAAAAAAAATCCCTGAAAATGTAGCTTTGCCATCACATGCATAAGCGACTACTTTCTAAACAAACAAACAAATGTATATATATAATATTATATATCGATATTAAAAGTATGTCTTAATCTTATTAAAGATTAATTAAGTTTATTCAAATTAAAATTTAGTACTTTCGAAGGACCAAACTTTTTACATATTACACAAATTTTTGCTCATATTTTTGTGCACGAGTCCTCCTCACAATACAGTCTTCCCTACAACACCATGTAAAAACAAGGCAAATCATGTCGGTCAATCAATTTATTAATTGACTGATTCTTGGCCAGTATATGCCTCAAAGAGACTTTATGCCAACAGTCAAAAATACGGCAAAAGTTCAAAATCTGGGCTTGTAAGAGGGTTATAGGTTTAAATCCCAGGGATTGAGCCATGAACCTTGAGCAGGCACCTAATCAAAGTTTACGCCTGAAGAACTGTGCAAAGTGTATTACACGCCACTTTAAATAAGAACAACAAATTAGCAAGAAATTGGTCTTCATGAACTCTCTCGCATTAAACTAAGTGAAAGTTGGGGAAGCTTGTTTAGATACTTGCATCACAACTTCTCAAAACCTGTAACAACTGCCTCCTCCAAAACAACACCTCCTGTGTGGAAGGCGTAATTCAGGCTTTCAGATCCTAAAGGTCTGAGGAGACATTAAACTTCCCTTCCACTGAGCGAGAAGTCTAGCGCTACAAAAGGCCAGAAGCCTTTCAAGACTCTGGCAGCTGAAGCCGCCGCTGCTCCACAGCCAAGTGCTAAAGCATGGAGAAGAAACACATGTAGCTCCTTACTGGAAACAGAGCTGTTAAAGATCCTCAAAGTTTCCGAGTCCTGGTTTTACTCGGCTGCACCTGCTTTCAATGTTCTAATGTGGTGTTCCTTCACAGCCATCTTCCTTTTTACAATACAGATGTTATTAATACCAGCTGCGGCAGTGCTTCCTAAATGATTTATTCAAAAGCAGAAATGCTTCCATTAAGTCCATTCAAACAGCAGAGGCCAGGGAATGGAAGAGCCTCTTCATGCTGGTCTGCAGGGCACAGGGCGAGCCATTAATCTTCTGAAAGCTTATAAAAACAACTTAACTGAGAGATCAGGCCCTGTCTGTCTGTCTGAGAGAAAGAGAGGGGGGCAAATGTACGTCACAGAGCATCAAAGTCACTGACCTGACAAATTTATCTAGACTTTTCCGGCTTTTTTTCTTTTTTCTCCGACATAGCAAAAATGGGAAAACATCCCACTGAGGCACCCGAATTCTGCACTGATGGGATTCAATGTCAAAATGTAATAATGCTACACACTGACCTTAGATTTGCATCTTTCAGATTACTTTTTTTCATAATCAGATTACTCTTTTCAAGTAACTAGTAAAGTAATGCATTACTTTTTTAATTCATGGGAAAATCTCTGAGTTACTTTTTCAAGTAAGTAAAGCCAGTTACTTGTTTTCCCATGTATTGACTGATAGCTCTCCTGTCCACATGTTGAGAGAAATCAGGAGTGAGTGCAGACGTGTTGTGTGCGCTGTGTGAACATGATGCTCCTGTAGTTCTAGACTAACATGCATTTACTCATCTAACAAAAAACAGATTCAGTATTCCTCAAAATGAATAAAACATTTGAAATGCCAAAGACAAGTTTTTACGGCTTTTCGTGTTTTCATTGTTATACAATCAGGGGCGCTATTACGCATCTTCTGAACGAGTACAAAACCTCCCGAACAAAAACACAGGTGAACAGGACGGAGAAAGGAGCAATCTCTTATGTAAACAGATGCATGTGAAAAATAATGCGATCATCGGCAATGGCAGCATATAAATGAAACCTGCATAATGTTACAGAGTACAATGTTGATCCAGGAAGTGGTATATGTCTGTGCAAGCTTTGGAGGTGTTGATGAGGGCGAGCCATTAATCTTCTGAAAGCTTATAAAAACAACTTAACTGAGAGATCAGGCCCTGTCTGTCTGTCTGAGAGAAAGAGAGGGGGGCAAATGTACGTCACAGAGCATCAAAGTCACTGACCTGACAAATTTATCTAGACTTTTCCGGCTTTTTTTCTTTTTTCTCCGACATAGCAAAAATGGGAAAACATCCCACTGAGGCACCCGAATTCTGCACTGATGGGATTCAATGTCAAAATGTAATAATGCTACACACTGACCTTAGATTTGCATCTTTCAGATTACTTTTTTTCATAATCAGATTACTCTTTTCAAGTAACTAGTAAAGTAATGCATTACTTTTTTAATTCATGGGAAAATCTCTGAGTTACTTTTTCAAGTAAGTAAAGCCAGTTACTTGTTTTCCCATGTATTGACTGATAGCTCTCCTGTCCACATGTTGAGAGAAATCAGGAGTGAGTGCAGACGTGTTGTGTGCGCTGTGTGAACATGATGCTCCTGTAGTTCTAGACTAACATGCATTTACTCATCTAACAAAAAACAGATTCAGTATTCCTCAAAATGAATAAAACATTTGAAATGCCAAAGACAAGTTTTTACGGCTTTTCGTGTTTTCATTGTTATACAATCAGGGGCGCTATTACGCATCTTCTGAACGAGTACAAAACCTCCCGAACAAAAACACAGGTGAACAGGACGGAGAAAGGAGCAATCTCTTATGTAAACAGATGCATGTGAAAAATAATGCGATCATCGGCAATGGCAGCATATAAATGAAACCTGCATAATGTTACAGAGTACAATGTTGATCCAGGAAGTGGTATACGTCTGTGCAAGCTTTGGAGGTGTTGATGCAAGCAATTTACTGGATTTATGCGTTGATAATCATACTGAATATTATCCAGATGTAGTTTTTGATAAAAATGTGATTCTCACCTTTTTGCTCAAAATTATGCATTTTTTATTTAACCTACCTATATTCAAGTGTTGATAAAAAAATAATTCTTTAAGCTAGAATAACACAGATTTTTTTGTTAAAAAGTAGGGGCTCTGATCTTTATTTTGGTAAATTGCATATTCAAATATTCATACAGCAAAATATACTGGAGGCCATCAAATTTGAGTGAAAATCATCAAAATCGCTGGTGGTGGCTGGCAACTTTTTTTCAAAAATGCTGGCGGGGAAAGAGTTAAATGTGAACACAAAATATTAACTAGTGTCTTTGTTGATGACCTTCAATGATCCAATTCAACCATACTAACAAGCAAAAATTACTTTAGATAAACAGAACATTTGTTTTGTTTTTTCTTCTATCTTTTATTTTCTTTTTGGTTATTGAGAAGAAAGTCTTCTCTTGCGTCATATTCTTCATGCAATCCTGAATGTTTGTTTGAGCTTGAACATTTCCTTCAGCCTGAGGCTTATTCATTTCACTTTTGGCGTGAAAGGGCTTTTACATTTGCCAAAAACTGAATATTTATATTAAAAACAAACAAGCAACCCTAATGACAGATGAGTAAGTAATGCAACGGTAAAGTAACACATTACTTTCCATAAAAACGTAAATGTAAAAAAAAAATGTAAAAACTTAACACAATTACTTTTTTAGGGGGTACCGCAACATTGTAATGCATTACTATTAAAAGTAACTTTCCCCAACACTGCTTGGATATTGAGAACTAAAGCCCTAGAAAAATCTCTGCAGGAACAACCAATCTGAGCCTTGGGAGTATGTACTTGAATAGCTGCCCTGGGGAAGAAGGCACTTAGTTGCAGTCCATACAGAGGTCACATTGTGCTGCTTAGCCAACAATGCACTAATATAATTGTACAAGGGTTACATTCTTGAGGCACTGAAGCGGTCAGATTCACACCGGGCAGCATCGTGCTGGCCAGCAGATGTTGTGAAATAAATAATGGTGGGTAGGGAGTTCTGTAATTTCTCAAGGTCGACTGCCAGCCCGTCCTTGCCTCCCTATTGTTGCACTGAATGTGGGCAGCTCAGAGAACCAGATCCAAAATTAGCTTTAAGCAAGCACTATTCTACTTATGCCCCTGAGAGTGGTGATGATAACTTGTCACAAGGGCTACAAGCGACACTCAGGAAGGTGTGGCACTGGAATGTAGATCAGAAGTGTGCGATGAATAGATTGTGAGGCTATTTCTAGCCGAATATCTAACGTATTAGCAAATATATACGTTAACCACGTGAGATCGACTGCAATGTTGGCCAGATGAATAAACAAGGTGCCTGACTGACCGGCTCACAGAAATGTCATCAGTCGTGTGAGGAATTATTCTGTGTCTATTAGAGCTGGATCAATACCAGAAGTTTGGCTTTGGTACGATATCAATCTCTGATACTGCAGTGTCCTGACTAAATCAATACCTTAGGTTACAAACGAAAGGACAAACAGAAGAAAAGGACACAAAAAGGCCCTAGACATTGTGCCTAGCTCAAAACAATCAAAGGTATCAGACTCTTTCAAAACCAAACTAAAAACATGATAAATGAAACAGAACATGAAACTCAAAATACAAAAACAAATAAAATAAGTAAAATGTTTGTGAGTGCAAGAGTAATCACTTTTAAAGCATAAGTTACGACATCTTATGTATAGATTTATCTGCCGGCTTAATGCTTCTAAAAATGAGATTATTGTGTGTCTATCAAATATAAGGGTTAGAACTACACGGTAGTGTTGTCAAAAGACCTGGTATTTCGGTACCAAGTCGGTACTAAAAAAATTAAAACGTTACGGTACCAGGTTTTTTTAAGTGCCGGTGGTACCGAGTACCCGGTCAACCCGGTTCTTGATGCGCTATCCGAAAGCTATCCTCTTCCAGTGTTGCCAAGTCTGCGGTTTTCCCGCAGAATTGGGCTGCTTTAACACTGTTGCCGCGGGTTGTTTTTCATGTCCGCGGGTTGAAAAACGACCCCGTTAACGTGATATTTAGCCCCTGGAATGCGAATCTTACCAGGGGAAATACGCCAGAACATGCGTATTTTATCCTCGGAACGCGATTTTTAACGGGGACCCCCTCGAAACGCGATTGGGCGGGTTTTGTTGTGAAAACCTGGCAACCTCTTCTTAAAAGCAGTGGCGACCTCAAGAGGAGGAAACGCATCAAATTAACAAAACACCCCGATCAAGTTCAAGCAGGTAAGTTTCAATTACATTTTTAATATTTAGAGCTTCTGTTATGTATTCCATATTTTAATTTTGGATTGAAATAAACATCGCCGTTAGCGTATACGTAGTTAATCATTAGCATAAACGCGGCTATCGCTAATATAATGAGTATTAGAATGAATTTTGTTCAAAATTATTTCTTTGTTAACTATTTAATGCTCCTATAACTTTTATTACTGTAAAAAACAGGAGGACATAATGGTATTTACTATTTTTACACACCAGAGGCTTTTAAATGAACTGTGTAACAAGAGATGCGTGTTAGAGAAAGTACAAATGTATGGTTAACAGTGTTTATGTCATATCAATCCGTCAGAAAAAGTTTTTTTTTTAGTTAGTTAGTTGTAATTCTTGGCTGAATATCTCTAGCAGGTTTTAACGAGTTGGTGTTTTTTCAATGTATGCTTCAGATACGAGTCACGACGAGGCGTTCCCCATAGCGACCCCTAGAGGACGCAGTGTCTCGTTCCCTACTCAGGGAACCATGGTTACATAAGTAACCCGAGACGTTTCCATCTATTTGATATACACTTAATATTTGTAATCTTATCTAAATTTATTATAAAAGCTGAGGTTTGTTATTTCCTGAAAAGTTATATTTTAGCTGGTGTCAATGATCTAATGTTGCATTTGGTCAGACTCAGCCCATTGCTTTACTGAAGTATATTATATTGTTCTTTTACAGCTGCAGACTGAGGAAGATCCTGAAACACACCAGCAACCCCTAAAACAGACAACAGTTTACAGATGTTTTTCAGTGGCAGCAGAACTAGGACTAAACTTTTGGGTGAAACTTGTTTACTTTTTTCATACTTGTATTACTTGTGGAAAAACCTGAAACAATTTAAAATAAGTATAAAGAATGGCATTGGTTTTGTACATTTAATTTTTGTTTAACGTTATTAATAAAATGTTGTTCAATTAGCATGTTTTTGTGTTTTGCTTTGGTACCGAGAACCGTAGATTTTCACTGGTATTGGTACCGAATAATGAAATTTTGGTACCGTAACAACACTACTACATGGTATCAGTCAAAGCTGTGGAGACATTGGTATTGCTGTATTTTGTAACTCTTTATAGTGTGTGGTAGATGCTATGGGTTGTATATGTTGTCCTATTGTCTTTTTGTTTTGTTTTTTTATTTTAGACCTTGAGTCTGTAATAAAAGTTTGAAAGTATATACTTTATATAAAATAGAAAGTCTTAGGGGCTGTTCACTGCACTGCTTTTCCATTGTTTTTCAGTGCTACACGGACACATTTGACTGTTGCGCTCATGTCTTGTGACTTTTGCAGCATCTCATGCATGATACTGCATTTAAAAAATGCAGCACTCAAGTTAAAAGTTCAGCTTTTAAGAAAGCCTGGCATTTTTTCATTACATTATAATGCTTCCAATGCAAAAAACGTGTTCTGTGTGAACAGCCCCTTACAATCCCAAAGCTAAATCATACAGTATTAACATACTATTCCACAACAAAGTACTTTATGCATTTGTTCTGCAGGTGTTCTGTGGTTTATATGAAGTGACAAATGAATTTCTAATCGGGTTTGTACACTGCAAAGCTAAACTGCACCTTATCTCTGCAAGCAAGTTCAGGCTTATTTTTAAGTCTAGAGTTTATATAGTCCTGGAAAATGGTGATACTGTGGCAATTTACGTCTGGTAGTGCAATATATATATATATATATATATATATATATATATATTAGTACAGTAGATATGCAGAAAACTAAAACAGTGAGCTTAAATCCAAACATACCACACATATTAAAATAAAAAGAGAAAGATATGATTAGAGAACACTTTGTTGAACCAGAAGGCCAGTTTCTGCAGCAGTGGTTACTGCATTTCTGTCCTTGCCACTGACCTCTGAAGGTGAAAACAGTTCCCTCATAGAAGTGTGAATCACGGCCGAGATATGAACTCATCAATTAAAGGTGGTGGAGGCATGCGCGGTGTGTAAACATTGATGTAAACGTGCTTTTAGCAGAGCGTGTTCAGCACAGCAGTCTCTTTATTGGGTGTTTGGTGAGCGGCGAAGCTCAAAGGCCGCTCTCGTCAATAGCGTACAGTGTGTGTTTCCTACACCTGCCCCTGGAGCACACATGAAAGACTGCTCCGGGGGGCGGAGGGACGACTTTAAAAACTTGCATGAACACACAAATAAACACAAACATGGGCTAGCAGCACAGATGGATCTCTATGTGTGGATGCACAGAGGAGCCCATAGAGGCTGCAAATACTGACGTCCGACTGCTAATCTGCTCCAGTTAATTACATTTCCAAAAGTTCCAGCGCTCATTACGGGTTAAGCACAACTTCTCTGTCTGATGACAGCCCAACGCACTGTGGCTTTTTGTTGGTATGGTGTACAGTTCATAAAAAAGTTTAGACATTAGACTAACCATGAATAACCATCTGTGCTCTGCTGAGCTTCAATCAAACATGTAAACACCAGCAGATGAAGAACTAAAAACATGCCACTCTATGATGCACCTTATTCGCATTAGAAAGCATGACAAGTGTCCAGTGTCAAGCAGGCACATTTTCCTGTCAACACTGCAAATGAAATGTTGCACAAAGCGGAAATCACTAACAATGATAACATATTTAATATATTGATATTTAATAGGTAATTAGACGGGCAAAACATTAGACACAAGATCCTGGCAAAAAGTGGAGAGTATTTTGCAATAATGATTACTCCTACGTATTACAAGACTACATTTAAAACATTAATTTATTTCAATGTTTTAAAATGTAATTTACTCCTGTGATCAAAGCTGAATTGTCAGCATCATTACTGCAGTCTTCAGTGTCACACGATCCTTCAGAAATCTAATATTTCTATCTAACAGGCTGCTCATATTTTTGTGGAAAGCTTTATACATTCCTTGACGGATAGAATGAACACTATTTACCTAAAATAGAAAAAAAATCTGAATAAAGTATTCGTGAGAGTTTTTACAGAACTGTGATATGAAGTTTCGAATCAACAATATTTCATTGTAGGCGGCAATACATTTTACAACATGATAAAAACAAACAAACGGTTGCCCTTACAGCGCAGTGTTCTAATCAGTTTTACAGTGTGTCGAACCTGCACCGGTTGCTATGCGAGCTGTTGTTTTTCTCAATGGCAGTCTAATAGCTGAGCTTGAGCGTCTCAGCTGGAAGACTTGTCATCTTTAGATTTCAAAACCCAGCGGGTGTCTGCAGGGGGCCCGGAGCGAAACCATCCACCATCAGACTCGCGGCACACAGACTGGACCGTAGTATTAGTAATTTCCCCTCCTCAACACACACTCATGCTCAAGAGAACAGGACATTCACAAGGAGAAAGAAAAACAGACAGAGACGGAGAGATTTCTTGCGTCATGAACAGATATACACATACAGTACTGCTCAAAGGTTTGGAAGTCTCTCGCCAATGCAGCCTTTATTTGATGAAAAACATGTTTAGTAAAAACAATCATATTGTGAAATGTTATTACAATTTAAAATAACTGTTTTCTATTTGAATATTTTAAAATGTAGGCATGGGAAAGATTTTATTTTAAATAAAATTAAAGATACAGTAAAACAGTCTAATTTGATTTGCTGCTCAAGAAACATTTCATATTATCACCAATGCTGAAAACAGTTCAGCTGCTTAATGTGCAAACCTTGTTACCCTACCATTCAAACGTTTTGGGTAAGTACAGTTATATATATATATATATATATAAAAACTTTAATTCAGCAAGATACATTAAATTGATAATATTACATTAATAATGTTACAATATATTTCATATATATTGTATATATATATTTTCATAAAAAATACAGAATAAAAATAGTTTCCACAATCCAAAATCATTATCATTACACAGATAATAATCATTATTAATAATTAAGCACCAATAATTGACGATAACAGAGCATATTATACTGATTTCTGAAGATCATGTGACACTGAAGACTGGAGTAATGATGCTGAAAATACAGCTTTGATCACAGGAATAAATTACATTTGAAAATAAATTAAACTAGAAAAGAGTTATCTTTAATTGAAATAATAATAAACAATAACACTGTTTTACCATATTTGTTATTTAAAAAACATTAAAATCTTTTCTTGAATGTAATTTTAAATGTTAAATATCAAACAATATAAAATGTATTTAATAGGTAAATATTACATCAAAACAAATAAATACAGTCTTATTGAGCATAAGAGACTCTAAAACACTAAAAAATATTAATTATTTCAAATGTTTGATCAGTAGTATTCAAATAATGAAACAACAGTTCAAATGCAGCAAGAATGCTGTCTAGGTAGGTAGTTCACTAGATGTCGAGGTTTATGTGCCAAGGTTGGCTGGTGAATTGGATGCGTGTCTTCGGCCATGTGAGCGCACACACAGGTTCACCCCTGAGGCTGTGCCCAGAGCTTACATGTACCTGACAAACGCACCTGCCTCCACAGCCTGAGCCCGCAGCGTACAGCACGAGCACCGACACAATCCATGCAGAAACACCATTCAATTAAACATCTCCATCTCAAACTGCAGACGACTTACTTTCCTAAATCAGCCCCTTACTTTCCTAAATGAAGGTCAATGTTATGCAGATCGCCAAAAGACAACTGCTCCAGCGGGGTCCAGTAAAAGTTAATGTATTCCCATCAGAAAATGTGACATTTGCTTACTAAAAAAAAATGTCGTCCCTCTGGCCCTTTTCAGCTGGATAATACTCAATCTTCAGACTATGCCAGACTAGTCACTGTAATTTACTGGTCAGAGAGACGCATGCTGTCTTTACACCACAAAGGCAGCAGGCGAGCCACATCTGAAGTGGCATATACTGTATATCATGAAAAGCTGTGTTCACATCAACTGCTTAATGGGGCACAGAGGTAACAGGAATCACAGTTCTGTATGTATTAGACACTCAAATGTGTTTTGTGGCTTTACCTTTTGTAGTCTTAAATGTATAGTTTACCCCAAAATTAAAGAATTTTAATTTTAATTAAAACATTTTACTGTGAATTTACTCACCCTCAGTCAATCCAAGATGTACATTTGGTGAATTTTTTTCTTCAGTAAAAACATATATATATATATTTTTTTGCTGAAACTGTGTTCTATGGTGATTCATAAAATGCAAGTCCATGGCAACCGTTACTTTAAGAGTCAAAAAAAGCATATACAAGCAACACAAAATTACCTCACACCAAAAAAAAAAATAAAAACATAAAATAAATAAATAAATAAAATAACCATGGCTCCTGAGGATTCATAAGACCTTAATATATCCTCAGGAGCCATGGGTATTAATTTTGTGTTGCCTTTATATGCTTTTTTGACTCCCAA